GCGTGCATGAGCGTGGCGTGCTCGCGGGTCCTGTCTTGAAGCTCTGCCTTGAAATCCGCCGCCTGGTCCAGTGCGCGAAAGTAAGGTGGCCCATAATGACGGTGCCATGTGCGCTGAACAGATCCCCGCGTAGCCTGAGCCGTCGCGCTACCCAAGATGCGGTTCGCGATCTGGAGATTGGCGCCCAAGCAAATTGTATGCGCGAAAATGAGCTCCAAACCAAGCACCGTCTCAGCCGTAAAATTATCGCATCCGACAACATACTTGAATCGACACGGTCGTAAAGCCGCTGCCGGTTGTCGCGCTCTCGGCCGTTTGTTGGACTCGCAAGATGGACCAACAAAATGACGCCGTGCCCATCGTAAAATTGAATTGCGAACCCGTCCGTGCCGAAGAACCCGTAGATCATCCGGGAGTTCCAGATGACCCATATTGTTATGAGCACGTAAAGTAGCCTTTGTTGAAGAGGCGTTGGGACCTCCATGGTGTGGGTGCTCGGTGCATCTTCGACTCCGTCATGTCTTTAGGATAGGTTCTCCGAAATCAGGCCCCAGGCTGTCGCCTTCCGCCGCGCCCTCGATGTCCTCGTCGATCGTCTCGAGCGGTGGGTGCATCCCGATGATCATCTGGTCCTCCGCGATCGCCTGAAGGAAACCGTCGACCACGTGTGCTACGTACTCCTCGGCAAACTGTGCGACGGTGTTCGAATACTGGTAGAAACACGGCTGCGTGTCCGCGTCCCTGGACTCGCCCTCTCGGTACTTGACGGTGCCAGCCCTCCCGAGGTGCTTAACCACCCCCCTGAGGATCGCGTTGCAGAGCTGAGGCGTGTGCTCCTGCGCGAGCCTGGTGTACTTGCTGCCAAAACGTTGAACGTGATCGGAACTGCGATGAGTACAACGCCTGAATGCTGCCATGAGGACCTCGATGTTGTTGCTGAAGATGCCGGTAGGCTTCCGATTGAGCTTGCCCCCGTCGGCGTGTTGGTTGAACTCGCGCATGTCGGTGTTGATCCAGCCCAGTCCGTCGGTATTGGCCAATTCCTGGATGCGCGGCATATCCCACGACTGGGCGTAGGCTAGTTGTTTAAATAGAAATAAGCCTCCGCGTTCGTGTTGCTCACGAGCGAGTACTGCACAGAACTCCAGAAGACCTTCGTGTGCTTCGCTGCTAACTATATGCTGGTCCCGCAGGTCACGACTGCGGCTCCATGCCATGCGCGGTGGGCTGGGGATGATGAGTAGCGGCTGCTCTTTTGCGATGATCTCCCGAGCCCGATTGCGATCCGCTTCCTGCGTGAAATCAGAGCTGGTGATCAAGTCCAACGCGCTCCCAGGTTGTAGTTCATGGCGTGCGCAGTGTTGTGTGACCCGAGGTCCACTGTAAATCTCCGTGGCGTCGGCGCCCTCCTTGGATTGCTTCGCCAGGCTCCGACGCAGTTCTCGCCGAAGTCCTTCTGAGATGACCCCCTGCTCGTCGTCGCCGGACATGGCGCTGGTGATCGCCCCGCTCTGCGCCTCGAAAATGTCGACGCGGTCAGTCGAATCGCCCTCGCGGCCCTCTGCAATGTAGTCGGCCTGGTCTGTGAACCTGTTCGCGTAGCCGATGCCGATCTGATCGCCGAAGAGGTCGCCGCTCGCGAAGCTGTCCGCGTTGACCGGCGTCACGGTGATCACGATGTCCGTCTCGTTGCCGTCGCTCAGGCGCCCGAAGTAGACCGAACCTCCGTTTGAGTGCCCTCGTCGCTGGGGGGGATCGCGTAGACCTTCGCCTTCTCGAAGCCATCTTGGGTGATCTCCTTCGTCTCCTCGCAGGCCCGCGCTGCGCATGCAAGCGCGTGCTTCTTCTCGTGGCGATCGAACGCTTTCTCCATCGGTGCTCCGTGGATGGGGCATGCTGGAACTCCTATTCTGTGAGCGAGCGTCGTGCCCTCGGTGTTCTCGCTTGCTGCTGTAGTGTGGAGCGCGTTCCCGGCGCGCCCCGCATTTTATGCGCACTTCGTAGGTGGCCCTTCTGGTTGCCCGCTGGCAACGACGCCCTCTGGGTGGTCGCGCTCGTCTGCCTTGCAGGTCGGCTTGATACTCGTGCGCATGGTGTTGGCCAGGCGCTTGCCCTTCGTGATGGACGTAGGGGCCCTTCCGTCGGTCGAAGAACCAGCTCCCTTCCGATGCGCAGCCAAAGGTGTGGCCTGCTCCTGGATGCCAGCGACGCACAAGAGAGCCGAGCACAAGGACTTGGAGAAAGCAGCTTCGATGACCTTGATGGACCTTCGCAGGATCCGATGCCCGGCTGCCATCGCTAGTTTCTATCGACCTTTGCTCTTCCCGCGGACTAGCGCCAGGTCCTCGCGCTGGTCGAGAGCCTGGTCCACGAGGCTCGGCATCAGGCGTCGTTATGGATATGGATGCCTCCGCGGAATGCGGAGGTCTGATCTGCAGGGACATGGAATCGCTGGCGGCCTCTGCCGGAACACTGGGAGTCGAGCGCAAATTGCTCTGGGAATTCACACCTTCGGGGTCCATGCGATTGTCTGTGGGCCTTTCGTCATCTTTCCTTCTGGGATGCTCGAGTCTGTATGTTTTAGCTTGCTGTGGTTCTCCTTGCTTCTGCTTGCTCTCGTTGCGATTGCCCGCTCTGTCGATGCTGTAGCTGCACACTGCGATGCTGTTGCTGCAATATGTGATGCGGTAGATGGTATTTCTGATGATGTAGTTTGTATCTCCGATGCTATAGTTGCAACCTGTGATGCTGCAGATGGTACCTCTGCTGCTGTAGTTGTAACCTGCAATTTTGTAGATGGTGTCTCTGATGCTGCGGATGCACCCTGTGATGCTGTATTCGGTTCTGTTGGTGATGGCGGCGACAATGAACTCGATGGTGCTGGCGGTGTCATTGATGATGGCGGTGGCGTCGGCGGTGGCGGTGCGCCCATGACGGCCACGGACGTTCTCTCTTCGTTCTCGGACCCCGGCTCGCACCATCCACCGGGCGCGAACTCGATGATGCTAATGGCCGTTTGGCCATTCTGTCCGATTGTTCGCAGCTTTGTGCTGGCGCCAAACTTGTGGAAAAAACGCGTGGTCGCCAGATCTGCGCAGCATGAGATCCATCTCCATCGCCCTGGTGAGACCGACTGGTAGCAGCGCAGGCACCTCCTTATCAAGAACACGGAGCGATGCAATTCCATTCGCGCTGGCGATGCCCACGGGTACCTCCGCGCGCCGATCCTATACCGCGAGGTGGGGGCCCATCGTCTGGCGCCCGCCGCGGTTGGAGGCCGAACTCCGTGAGCTTGACCGCGAGCCCCTTCAGCTGCCACGCGCTGATGATGCCCTCCTGGGCGCCGGTGTCCACGAGAACCTCCCATGCGCTGATGGCGAGCCCGATGAACATGGCGATCGCTCCGATGAAGAACCTCACGGCACCTCCCGTCGTAGAAGCAGCTGATCTCGGCTCATCGATGTTGAACGTCTGGTCGCTGTTGCTGTTGCCTGCCGCTTTGTGCATGGTGAAAGCTCCAAGGGCGGGCCGTTGCTATTGACGATTCTGCGGGCGCTCGCGCGCCCAATGCCTAACCAGCTTGCGCTTTGCGCAATTCGTCCTGAGCTTGAGCTGGTCGATTGGAATGCGGCGTCGTTGGCCGTGCTTGCCCTTGCCCTTGCCCTTGCCTTTGTCCTGCTTGTCGTAGCCGTGCTTGCCGCTGCCCTTCGGCTGGGAGAATCCTATCGCCTTGCGTGCCTCGTTCAGCTGGTTGCGGACCTTTTTGCGCTCGACCGGGTAGCTCATCGCCGGACGCATGTCCACTAATACCCATGGCAAATCCTGCTCTCGATCACGCCAGCGAGCCACTCCGCGTTGAGGTAGTGCACGCCCTCGATTGCCTGCGAACCTGGGATCTGTGACGTGCCCTCGCCATCGTCGCAGCCGTCGTCCTCGTGGCCGACCACATCTATCGCGAACGAGCCGAGCTCGTCTGTCGTGTCTGTCGTGGCCATGTCGATCGGCGGCGGCGGCGGTGCGATGCAATGGTCATATAGTCCCCGAAGAGCGTGAGCGAAGCCCGTCCTGTCGTCGGTCGCGGTAGTCCAGCTCGGCGATCGGGTCGATCCAGTCGAACGAGTGCCTTTGCAATCTGCTTGAGGTTGTAGCCGCCGTCGGTCCAGTTGATAACATTGTCATTTGACCTCTCATCGGGCCTTGCGAACCATGGCGTGGTGTAGCCCTTGAGCGTGTCCGCCATCACAACCTTCAACCTCTCGAGCGCGATGAACTCGAGCCTCCTTCAATTCACGAACGTGGTGAGCCCCTCCTTCTTGGGGTCGCGTACGCGCGTGTAGAGATTCTTCTCCAGCGCCTCGGGGACCTCTTCCTCCTTCAGATGCTGAGGCGCGTTGTCCAGGGTCTGTAGTATCAGCTCGACCGCGTTCTCGCGCGTCAGGGCTTCGTCGACGATTTCCTCGCATGCGAGTCGAGCTTCGCCCCTCAGGTTTCGAAGAACCACGCCACTACTTTTCTTGACCTCTATCGTTGTGTTGGCCTGCCCGATCAGCAAGTCCCTGCTGATGTGACGGTGCAAGTAGTCGTTCGTCGGCTCCGTGAAACACGGTGGCGGATCCTGATCCACTCGTGTTCGTACTCGCGATGGCTCTCCATCTTCGCCCTCCTCGGGCTCACCTAGAGCCCCCGCTGGCATGGCGGCGGCGAAGCTGAAACTGTAGCGGGTGCGCAGTTACCGTGGGGAGAACCGCGGCTCCGCTGCCAGCTGGAAAAACAACGAAAACGGAAACGGGACCCGCGGACCCTTTTCCACTGCGCGCGCATCTGACCCAAGCTGGCTGCGGTCGAAACGACCGTGGCCAACGTGAGCCTCCATATTATCTCCAGGCCTCAGGAGCTCAGAAATCACAGAGGAGGAGAACGAGCGGCAGTGGCATGAGGGCGGGCTCCTGTGACGCCGCGGCGGCGTGCCGCGGCGGCGGGCAGCCTGGACCTCAGCGCAGCTACTTCGCGAAGTTGAGGCGGTCGAGGGCGGCCAAACGCGCGTCCAAGTGGTGCTTGTAGGAGTAGTCATTCACGCCCTGGGTCTTGACCTCGAGGCGCGTGTAATGCGAGAGGACGAGGCGCTGGATAGTCATCGACAGCGAATGTTCCCCGTGCTCGGCATAGTGAAATCCCGGTCCCAGACGCTCCAGCACGGTGGCCTGCGAAAAAGTACGAGGCAGACATGCCAGATTTTGGAGACGATCGCAGATCATGTAGTGGGCGATCGCGTCTGGCTGCTGGAAGCATCCCAAACGGCACAGATCCACATCGGGTGTCACGCGCATGCGAGAGCTCGTGTGCCAGCCACCCGCGAGAGTCCTCATAGTGATCCACCGCCGCGAAGGAGCTACCGTCACCAGCAAGCTTTTGAGGGTGGCCCAGCGCAGCTTCAGGTCGTGCGGAACGATCGCAGCCCCATGCCAGGCCGTGAGCCGCTTGGCGATGGTGATCTCGAGATCGTCCTTCACCCAGTGGGTGGTCAGGGCCGTGATGAATGCGCGCTGCGGCTTGGGCTTGGTACCCGCTTCGACGGCATCCCGCACCGCTCGGTGAACAATGACACTGGCGCGAAGAATATCATGGTGGCGACGAGCTGGAACTTGGTCGGAACGGCCCTGCATCATCCCGTTGAGGCGCTGGATAATCGCCTGCGGTCCCTTCCAGAGGACAGGCGACCATTTGTTCGTCGCTCGCCAACGCAGGAGGTCCGCATGCGGATTGCGCCATCTCGAAGAACTCCTGGAACAGGGGCCGCACCAGGTTGAGGGGAAAGTGAGCGGCCCGCCAGTGAGCACCAATCGAGTGCGTGAGCAGGCAGCGCGGCGCAATGCCAGGCATCCAGTTGTTGAGCTAGTGGACATCTTTGAAGCGAAAGGTGCTGGGAGGCATGCGTGGAACTTTGTGAACTGCATGGGTCTCATTTCGCTTGAGCTGGGGTGGGAAATGAAAGAACTGCGCCAGGTAGCCGAGGGCGGTGGTCGCCAATGTCTGATCGAGCCTCGCACTGGCGTCCGTGGGGGCTGTCGTGGTGCCAGTGGTCACCACTCTCTGCCGCTGCTTGGATCCAGCAGCAGCCCATTGTATATCGTCGTCCGCATCAGGGCCCACATGCACCCCAAGATGCAGACCTTCAGCCGCAACCTTGAAGGGGGCCCAGTCGGGAACGTGGCCCTGGAGGAAGGCGATGACGCCGTCGCGGATCGTGTTGGTCAGCTTCGTCCACAGGGGTGTGATGACACTTGTCTTCACATTGAGATATAGATCGCTGAGCACCGCTGCTAGATGAAAAACGCCAGCCAGCGGAATCATGAAAGCCATGCGTTGAAGGTGAAGACCGAGATCATCGGCGCAGGCGCCCGTCTTGCCGTCCTTCTGGGTGGGCATCGCAACATTGACAGCTCTGATGATGACATCCATCGCGATGGCCTAGATGGTGCCAGATAAAAGGGGCAGCCTGGGGCTACTCCAGATGCCAAGGGGCAGACAAAGTAGTACTGTCCATCGAGAACGGTGAGGCCCATGGTCTGGTCGCACAGGGCAGCGACCGCACTGGCAGAGTCCATCTCGAACTGGAACTGGTTGAGGGCCTGGAGGGGCATTGCCCCCCCAGAGAGGGGAAGGCAGCGGCAATGCCGAAGAGAAGCAGGACAGGCTTATCGAGTGAAATGTCAGCATGCCAACCTGCCATGCGCCCTTTGGCGTCCATCATCAGGATGTGGTGACAAGGATTGCGTCCGCGAGTGAACCTTTGTGGATCATGATGAGCATGTTCATCGACGTGAATCCTGAGCTGTAGGTTGAGCGCTCCCACGAAGAGCTTGGGGTCGGTGTTGTTCCGAGAGATCGGTCGCAGATTTCCTGCTTCACGCGTGCAGCAGAAGTGGTCGGTTCCCTCCTCGCCCTTCGGGATGAACGAGACGGTCGAATCGTTGAGCGCGGGCGGGGCAACGCCGGTCTCGAAGGAGCTCCACGTGACATCTTCCAGAGCTTCCAAAGCCCCGTCAGTCTCTGCCCAGGCTCGGTGTGGGGGGCGATCAGGACCAGGCGCTGACGCGCGAGCGCGAAGGGCATCGCGGCGCATGACACCAGCAGAAAGAATGATGAGCTTCGGTGTGGTGATGTTTGGCGGAGCAAATTGGCTGGGGTAGTCCTTGAGGGCCTGGTCATCAACTTGCTTGTGCGAGAAGATGGACAGCCAATGATCCTGTAAGGCTTCCACTTGTGCTGCGGGGCCTGGAACGGTGCCCCCCTCATTCGCCGGGCGAATCCCCGTCAGGGACAGCTCCCGCGCAAAAGGAGCCCAGGCCATGCTGCGCTTCTGTAGTATGCGAGCTTGTTTGTGTTGGTACTCCACTTCCAGCGTGCGACCTTGTTGCTAAGCGCGTTGTGCCGCTGCGACCGCTTGCTCTTTGCGAAGGCGGTTGTGTTGCAGATGAGCACGTCGCGAAGCTTCCGCAAATTTAGGTTCATCCAGTGGGCCCGCCTGGCCTTCGGCGATGGAAAGGGGGTCCTTGCCAATCTCCGTGGTGTTCATGAGAGTGTGGGCCAGGGGCAGGTATTGTCTCCAAATAACCCGCGAAACGGAGCGATGCGTGAGCAAACGTGCTTCCGCTGCCGATTGGTAGCGCGCCGTGCCAGGGCGCGTGGTGAGTTCAGTGCGCGTGGGGCGAGCCGCTTCAGTCATGATGTCCTTGAAACCAAGCCGACGTCGCTCCGCCGTCGTACATTGCAGCTTCGAGTGCTGATGAAGAAGCGGAACAACCTGCTTGCAGCGGGGGGCCTGGGAGATGAAGGCGGGGGTCGGTTGGGTGTCGGGAACAGCAATCGCAATCGCAAGGTCCAGCAGCGCATGATCGCTGAGGCGGCGGTCGCTGAGTGCGGCGGGATCCTTAGCAACCTTCAGCGTTAGGGACAGATTCGGGTAAGCATGGGCAGGAAGACTGACGAAGACGCGATCGATCCTGGTCTCCTTCATCGCATGAGCGTCGAAGCGCGTGGGTTCGCCACTCGAGACCTCGGTCATCGACGCGAAGAGGTTCTTCCCGCAGGACTGCTGGTGCTGGTCACCCCCAATGCTGGCGAGGACCATGGGCTGCGGGTCCGGGAAGGAAGCAGCAGGCTCGTCGTTCATGTTGAAGTCGCCGCAATGGCGGAGCGACCTGTGCCCACCGTTGGCACTTGTGCCAGTCAGTCTGGATGGCTCGCCGTTGGTCCTGCGTGAGCTCATAGTTGTGGATGCTCATGAAGGCAGCAGCACAGACGTTGCCATGGTGGACCTCGAGACTAGAGCACGTCCTGGAACGAGTGCGGTGGAGAAGCATCGTGCGATTAGGGATTCCGGAGACGTGATGTGGGAGCTCTGGCGAGCTTCCCAAACATGGCTGGCCAACATCTGAGATCTCCGCCCCTTCTTTATGGTTGGCCGCCTCCCCAGACAGTGCGGGTACCGTCCCTAGGTCATGAGCAGCGCGTGGGCCCAGGTGACCTAGCCGAGAGTTCACCTGGAAGATGATCAGATAACGAAGCCGAGGAAGTGGCCGAAGAGGGAGACTTTGAACTGGTAGACGTAGATGAAGATTGTGAAGATCTAGAGGCAGTCGATGGTGTCGGAGTGCCAGGAACATGAGGCGACTGGCCGTCTAGGTCCGTGACATCGATCTCAGACAGCTTGGGGAAGAGAAGCGCGACGCCTCCCGTCTTCGACGAGCCACTGTTGGAGTATATTGTCTCGTAGGAGTAGAGGGTATTCTGCACGAGTCGCTGCAGACGAGCTGCACTACCATGAACTTCTTATACAGCAGTGATATATCCCTGTCGCAGATAGGGAAGAAGTAGTTGTAGCTTAGCTTGGCGACGCCGGCGGTCAATGGTGAGCAAGCTGCGGGCGTTCCACGTAATGTTCTTGATGCCGTGATTGGGGTGACCTGTCCGCTGAATGTTACCCCCACGATATGGCCTTGTCCTCGTCGAAAGAGTCGTTGAAGCGCTTTTCCACGGCGGGACAGTTGATGCCACGTTGAGCTGCGAGTTCGCGATTCCATTCAATCTTGGTGGGCATAGCTGCGGTAAGCGAACCAGTGGAACACTGTCAAGAGTGACTCGTCCACCCTGCTTGTAGGGCCTGAGCGAGAAGTTGGCATAGTCAAATTCAAGAATCTTGTGAAGCCGTCGGGTGTGAATTTCTCGGCGAATTTGTCGGGCACTGCGGTCAACATTGACATAAAGAGGGACTCGTTGTCCCAGCACTGAGGGACTTGTGAAAAATCTCCATTCTCCACCTCGTAGTTTGAGACCGCGTGCAAGCGCCGTAGCTCTGGGGACGACCACATTCTTGTCGCCGAGAAGCCGTAGGTTGAAACGCCTGGCAGACACATCGCCAGTAAGAGAAGTATAAGACCAATCAGCGCCGGACTCCTGAAACCAGCTCTGAAGGTCATCCCGGAATTGTTGAGGCAAGACGAGTTCTTGACATCCAATGGAGAACGCAGCAGGGTCGGGTTGTCGGTCACATTCAGCTTCTGCGGCCAAGTCGACAACAGGGACGGCGGCCTCCGCGATGGCGAATGTCCGATTGATGCCATCGATGGCTTGTCGATGGCGCTCTTGTTCCCTTTCAGAGGAGGAGGAGGAGGAGGAGGAGGAGGAGGAGGAGGAGGAGGAAGAGGAGGAGGAGGAGGAGGAAGAGGAGGAGGAGGAGGCGGAGGAGGAGGAGAAGGAGGAGAAGGAGGAGGAGGAGGAGGAGGAAAGGAGGAGGAGGAGGAGGAGGAGGAGGAGGAGGAGGAGGAGGAGGAGGAGGCGGAGGATGAGGAGGGGGAGGAGGGGGAAGAAACCTCCGCTGGACCTCCCTCCAGCTCCTCCTCCTCCTCCTCCTCCTCCTCCTCCTGGGCAGGGAATCCAGTTGTCCAGTTCCTTCCTCCAGTTCTTCCTCCTCCAGTTTCTCCTCCCTCCAGTTTCCCCCCCCTTCCTCCAGTTCCTCCCTCTAGTTCTCCCTCTCTCTCTCCAGCCTCTCCCTTCAGTGCCTCTTGGGCACCCAGCCTGCGCAGAGAATCAGAGCTACTGTTGGCTGCACCCTGCAGTACGAGGAGAACAGCCCCCAGCAGCGTACACCAAGCAGTGAGCACAGCACGGGCAAATGAAGAGAGGTCCCGAGCTATGCAGACGAGGGATATCAGGGGGAGAGTGAGCCATGACCTGGCTCGCCTCCTAGTGCTTGGGAAATCCGCTCAACCAGACATCAACCTAGGTCGCCTGATTCCGCGCATCGCGTCACGCGATGCGCCGTTACCTTTGCACCCATGCGCCGCCGTCTTGGAGAGGACGGGGAGGAGGAGGAGGATAAGGAGGAGGAGGAGAAGCAGGAGGAGGAGGAATCCAGCCACGACGTGCGATGCTCTCTTCGCACTTCTGGGACTGACCTGGTCCACATCGCAGGTGGCCCTCTCGAGCATCGAATGCCACCCACCAGCGTCCTTCTCCTCGTGTGTTCGGCACGAGTTTTTGTTTGTGTGGGGGGGGTGTTACTTGTTTTTTGTAACGATAGCGGCTCTTCTTCTTCGATTTCGGCACGAGGTGGCCGCCCCACACTCCAGACGGCACGGGCACGCGCGAGACCCCTGGCGCATCGGGGGGGGGCGGGGGGCGACGATTCTCAGAGGCGCCGAAGAGTGAGACATCTCCGTGTTGGGCTGCTGGATTTGTTTGGACTTGTTTGGGGTTGGACACGTCGGACAAAGCAACAACCAACGACCACCAACAACGGTAGCGCACCTGACGCCACGCCGCGTCCGGCGCTGCACGCCACGGCGGAGACGCCGACGAGGACCGCCGGAGGGCGACAAGCGTTCGGCACCAGCAGACTACAGAGCAGGTGGCGTTGAGAATATGGTTTTTCACCATCTATGAACTTCTGGATCTCGCTTTTCTCCAGCATGTAGGTCGCCGTAGACGGTGGCAGACATGTCGTGCTCGCCGATGCTCGGGGAGACGAGAAGCTCACTGTCTGGATCGTTGCTTGCGCCGAGGTTGATGAAGAGGTCGTGCCCGAAAACCTAAACCCTGAACCCAAAGACCGACCACAACGATGTTCAAAACGACATGGCGCTTACCACGACAAGCGAAGCGAAACCCATCGTTTAAAGCGAACGTTTAGAAGGAAGCCAGTGCCACACAAAAGCGAACAACGAAACGAGGCGCTTAAATCAGCACCGACACACTAAACGAATCAAACACGAAATGCGAAACGAATAACAAATCAAGGGGCCACACAATGCTAAACAGCGTTGTGGTCGGTCCTTGCCTAAACCCTAACTTCTGCTGGTCCGTCCTGAGTTGCACGGCCACCTGGGCGCCGCTCGACTCGGTCATGGATGGATGGTCGGGGAATTTCGGTGGCCAGGGCGGCCGAAACTGGCCACTGATTGCTCTCCCGAGTGGTCGTTCTCGGAGAGGCTGATGGGGGAGGTCGTACCCCCTACCCTAAATCCCAACTTCTGCTGGGCCATCCTGAGCTGCACGGCCACCTGGGCACCGCTCGACTCGAAATTTGGTGGATGGTCGCGGAACTTTGGGTGGCCAAGGTGGCCGACGCTGGCCGCCGATTGCTCTCCCGAGTGGTTGTTCTCAGAGAGGCTGATGGGGAGGTCGCAACCCATCCGTAAGCCCTAACTTCTGCTGGGCCATCTTGAGTTACATGGCCACCTGAGCGCCGCCCAACTCGATCACGGATTGAGGGGGGTCGGGGGATTTTGGGTTGGGGCGGCCGAATATGCCCACCGACTGCTCCCCCGACCTCCTCGGTCGCCTCGCTGTGCTCTTGAGCCAGAAGGCACGGGGTCGTTCTTGGACGCGCCTGGGTCCACAACTTAATCTTTAGCCGTCTTCGGCAAGCTAGGTTCAATATTTGGCACCAGTGTGAACTTGGAAGGATCAGGGGCAGCTTGCCCGAGGTGGGTCGTGGCAGAAGGCGAAACAAAGCCTGAACTGCGTCGGTGAGACAAGGACTCGGACTTAGAAATCGCCGAACCTCCAGAAGACCAAGTCACTCTGCTTCAACCACTTATGTGGGAAGACGGAGGACACGGAAGATGAGGAGCGGAAAGATGGTGGTAAGGATTGTTGGAGGAAGAGGGCGAGGAGTAGGGGGATAATGTGTTGGAAGATGGCGACATTACAGCCCACCCTGGAGTAAACAGAGGAAACCTTGTTCAGGGCGCGATGCCCGCGTTGAAATGCGAGGGGTAAGGTAGGTAGGTATGTCGCGTGGATGAGGCACGAGGGAAGGACGGGCGGGAGTAGGGACGAGGGACGATAACAAAGCGGGAAGTAAGCTGTGGAGGGAGGGGCGGAGGTGAGCACAGAAGGGTGCCCAACCTTTGATGATCTCGTTGGCGTCCATTATAATAAGCAGGGCCCGTGACCCTTGACGCCGAACGCACGTGTGAGATGCGTTCAGGCAGGGGAACAAACACCGACCGCCCACGACGTTGTCGATATTCTGACAGATGTTGCTGGAAGCTGCGGCTTGGTCGGGCATCCCTGGTAAGCTGTGCTCCGCTGTCGACGCTACTTTTGACGTCCGCGTCTACCAACAAAGACATGTCGTTGCTGTCGAGAAAGCTACCCGCTCACGCTGCCGACAAACGACTGGTGGATTGCCCTGTGTCTAAAGAGAGCGCCTGCAGTGACGCCAACCCTGGGCCGAAAACCAGGTCGTCAACAAGACCTGGAATCCATATCCCTTCTCATCTCCCTCGCCTCCCTTCTCTCCCACTCACGCTCCCGTGCTCTCCTTCTCTCTCTTGCTCTCTCTCTCTCTCCCTCTCTCTCTCGCCCCTCCCTCCTCTCCCTCCCGCGCGAACGAAGATCCCTCCTCTCTCTTCCGTGCGAGAGAAGACAAGCTGAGGATGAAGAGCACACAAGCAAAAGCTGCAGAGAGACTTCAGGCGTGCGCCTGGAAGTCTGGCTCGATCAGTGTCTGTAACCTGCTTCCCCATTTTGGAGCCATGCGTGTCATATCAAGTGCGGGACATTCTTGTACGCTTATCCACACTCTCTTCTTGCTCTTGCGGTTTCCCTTGCAATGCCTCCTACTTCCATTCCTCATCCTTCTCGTCAAACGTGTGTTGTACTTCGCATCGTAGACACTGCAACCAAATGGACACATATCCTCATCGAATACTCGTTCTGCACCCGAAACGTGAATCGGTACTTCTTG